GAAGAATTATATAGCTTTTCTGCTAGTTCAAAAAAAAAAAACAATTAGAACAACTCCTTGATTAAAAACACGAAACAGAGTTGTTCCTCTCCTTTCTCAAAGTTTATAACTTTTCAGCATTGACATATAACATCTGAAACAGGATCTCTGAAATTACTAGTGAAGAAAAAATACCCATAAAGTAACACTATCCACAACCTAATCGCTTAGAAACTAAGATCAAACATACAATCCCTCTGTACACAGATAGAAACGTACATGTGAGATTTCAATATCGATTCGTACCGTTATCTCAACAGAGGCGAAGAAAGGATTAGGGTGGGAACCAAATCCGCACTGTCAATTTTCCGTCAAATATGGAAACTTAGGGAAAACCCTAATTCTCCCGAGGTCCTAGATCTCTGCGGAAATAACTAAAAAAGAACAAAGTTAACAGAATATGGATGAATAAGAACAATGACGAACAGAGAATAGATAAAGAATTTGTGTGAGAGCTTTTTATTGAATAAGAGATTGACTGTTGTTACAGAGAGAATCGCAGAACTTAGACGTCAAAACGTTCTAAGGATCCGACTTGCTAGTCTAAACATCTAAGTCCTAAATTTGCCTAAGCTAACAGCCGCCTCTCTAGGTCTAATTTTCGTCCCCTGCTTCTGTCCTCTACCTCTTGCTTATATACTCCCTTCCTAGGCGGTTTAATCCTTCCATTTCGTCCAGATTCGAGTTTACCGAGAATCTTCCATTTATCTTTATCTTTTCTTTTTTGCCACGGAAATCTTCTATTTATCTTCAAACTTGACATTTATCTTCTTTCTGCGAGTAAATCGTCAAAACTTCATCGTATCTTCGGGTTAGGCTTCGTTAAAGTCGTGAGATAGGCTTTTAACGCGTCTTAGGACTTTCCGAACCGTTTTGCGAAAAAACCGTTTTACGACTATATACGAGATCGTTTTCTGATGTGATGCCGTTTTTAAATAAGTTTCTCGAGTTAATTGTTTGGAAATGTTCGATTTTTCGGTTAATCGTTGCCGTTTTCTATGATTTACTCAAAGTTTTATTAAAAACGCGTTTTTTACGATTGCTCACGAAAAATCTCGAGTAAATCGTATAGTTTGGGAAATGTTCGGTGTTTCGTTTAACCGTTGCAGTTTTATAGGATTTCCTTGAGTTCTTTCGAGAAAACAAGACTTTACGATTTTTATCGTAAAACTCGACCGATATAACGGATCGAGACGAAACGAGTGACATTTCGACCGTGGTTCAAAAAATGATCGTGCCGAAGAATGTATGCCTTGAATCGAGGACGTGGGAGATCGAGGCTTGGGATAATCAGCTTGACGTACGATGATCTGAACCGGACCGGTTCAGCTCGCCGTACGGCGAGCTATCAGGGAAGCGTCTAGCTCGCCGTACGGCGAGCTAGTTTTTGTCAAACTAGCTTGCCGTACGGCGAGCTAGCTTGATGCCACCTATCTCACCGTACGGCGAACTAGTTCGGCCGAACTAGCTCGCGATTTACGGTGGATGCGGTTTTTTGCGGTTTTGTGCTTAACTCTGGCGATCGTGTAATCGGCGTTTGTTTCGTTCTTCCGAGATAATGACTTCCAAGTTTTCCGCGGTTTTCCTTTGTTTGGAAACTTTAATTTTAGAATTTTATAAAACGACTTCTCGAGTTTTATAAAACATATTTTTATTTCTCGCGGAAGGCAATGATTTTATCTTTAATAGAAATTATCGTAGATGTTGATTTCGAGATTACGGTTTTCGACACCAACAGTTAGCCCCCCATCTCGCAAGTCTCAGAGAAGGTTTTTGCGGGTGACTGGAGTTGTTTTAATCGGAATCCACGGCTGCGATTCGTCTCATTACAAGAGATGAGCTCTTCTTTTCTATAAGTATTGGATCATTACTTCACATATCTTCCATCTCTCAAATTTCTCTCACAACTTCTCTCTAGAGAATTGTCAAGATGTCTTCTTCCCAAGGTGATCAACAAAACCATGAGGTCTCAGCTAGTGACAATCCTATGGCGCATTCGCAGGATGCTCGCATCTCCGAGTTCCTCTTGTTCCAGGAGGAGATGGATTGCAGCGATGCTGAGGAAACTACGGTGCCGACTTGTGCAGCCCCGGTGAATCCGTCCATTCTTGCGGAAGAGGTCGAGGCTATTCCGGATGAAAATGCAAGTGCCGTAGCGAAACCTTCGATGGGCGTCACTGTCGAGCCGTCGGGTTCATCTGCTGTTCCGCCCCTTGCTGAGGTCAAAACTGTAGCGGTTCCCGCCGAGATTGGAACAGTTGCGGCTCCTACCGAGGTTGAGCCAGTTACGACTTTGAAGCCTCCTCCTCCGGCCTAAAGGGTGATTTTTCTGGGACTTCCGGCGCTTAGTGCGATGCTGGCTGCTCCAGCCAAAGGTCGTAAGAGACCTTGAACGAACCCTGATGCTCCCAAGAGAAAGAGAGGCGCGAAGGGTTCGGAGGCTGGAGCTTCGTCGAGCAAGGCGCCAAGCTTGGGTTTTATGTCGCAACACCGTGCCAAGGTATAGGTTCTCGAGTACACTTTTAAAAAGATTATTATTTTTAATTGGTGTCTAATCGTCTATCTTGACTTTTTCAGCTTGTTGCGTTGATCGATGGAGTGATAAAAGAATGCAGGTCTGAAGTTGAGCATTTAGCTAAGGAGTTGGCTGAGTCGCAGGAGAGGTCCGCTCAGCTTGAAAGAAAACTGAAGGTGATAGAAGATGTGCATTCCGCGGAGGTGTCTCAGTTCGAGGCTAAGATCAGTGACTTGGAACGCGATCTGGAAAAGACCGCGATTTCTCTGCTCAAGGCGAAGGATGCAAAGAACTCTAAGGCTTCGGAGCTGCGCATACTTCAGCGCAAGATAAAGAGTTTTGAGGGATCGGCGGTCCGTGCGACCAAAGAGGATGTTCCCGTCGAGGGAAGTGACTCTGAACCGACTCTTGCTGCCGAAAGCGGCCTTCAGCCTGATGCAGATGAGAGCAATGATAGAGATCGCTGACAAAGGTGAAGGTGTTTTTGTGGGAGCCGGTGATGCGATGGATGAGGATGAGGCTCCGTGTGCGGAGGGTATCTGAGGTTGTAGTCTCGTATGAGATTTTTTAAAATTTTGAATCTTTATGTGTTTGGTCGAAATGTGTTCGGGACTGGCCGTTTACGGCTTTGAATCCCTTGTTGCTTCGGCAACTTTTTTTTTTTATAATGAACAATCAGTTTTTCGTGTAAACCTTTTGTTTAGAGTCGATATTGAGGGAGGTTCGCGAGTTGTCGTCTCGCATTCCTTTTCCTTTGTGGATCGCCTTATTCGTTTGCTCGTTTTAGGATGTTTAGTAAATTGAGTGAGCGTTTAGATGTAGACGAAGAGACATGCCTTTAGGATCTCGATTCATGCCTTTAGGATCTCGATTCATGCCTTGAGACGTTAGAGACCAGTGTGCTGGGTTTAGGGCAAGACCTAGGTTTACTTTCGGATTAAGGCTATGCGATGACTAGTCGGCTTTCGTTTTGCATGTTGCAATTTTAACCTGATTCCATACCGATTCAGAATCAGCGATAGGTTCTCGGCTTATACGATTCGTTTGGTTGGAATCGAGCATCTCACCGGGAAAATTTAATAAGTTGCCCGGAAGTGCTGACCAAAAGTTTGGATTTCTTTTATAGCGCTATTACCCTTGTGTCGGGTGTTCGAGAGCTATCTCTGCGAGATAACTTGAGTTTGTTTAGGACTGTTGCGAGTTTGTTGTGATCAGCAACAAACTATTTTTAGGCGACATATGTTTACGTAATTTGGGCCTTTGCAAAAGGAATTATATCTTAAGGAGCTGTGTATATTTTTATAGTCGCGGACGGACTGTTTATTCTTGTTATTTTGGAGAGGAATGTTTTTCCGAATATTGGCGATGTCTCGCTTTATTCAGAATTTTTTTTTTTCGCTGTGTTGCTGAAAAAAGTTTCAGAAATTTCGAGTTTGGAATTTCGGGAGTATACAAGTATACGTATACTCACCTACCCCCCCCCCCCCCTTTTAGTGAGGGGGGACAGCTGGTCTCATCTTGCGACAAGATGCCTATGTACTCTTTAGGGGGAATCAAGCCGTCTCGTAATTCAGTGTTTTGCGGCATGTTGCCTAGTGATAGTATTTTTTTAGATGAATCGCGTTCCACGATCGGGGAATTTTGGTGCCCTGCATGTGAATCGCCGTCTCATAGTTTATGCTCCCGGCCGGACTACCATTATGCATGTATGGTCCTTCCCAGTTGGCTCCCAATTTCCTGGCGTTTCGTTCTGCGGTGTTTTGGAAGACTTTTCGTAAGACTAGTTCGCCTTCATGAAATATGCGGCCTCGTACGTTTGCGTTATAGTACTTTGTGGCCGCTTGCTGATAGTTTTGAATTCGGATGAGGGCCTGATCCCGTCGTTCGTTAACCAGATCGAGTTTGTCAAGAAGCATTAGGTTGTTCGATTCTTCCCTTTCTGGAAGCAATCTTCTGCGTAATCCTGGAAATTCGACTTCTGGTGGGTTCATGCATTATGTTCCGTATACGAGGGCAAAAGGAGTTTCGCCCGTTGCTTGTCTCGGGGTCGTGCAGTGCGACCATAAAACTCCCTCGAGTTCCTCAGTCCACCTGTCCTTTTTGGCGTCGAGGAATTTTTTGAGGCCGTCGAGAATAGTTTTATTAATGGTCTCGGCTTGTCTGTTGCCCTGAGGATATCTTGGAGTTGATTTTGTCAATCGTATTTTCCATTTCTCGCAGAAAGCCTCGAATCTAGTCGAGATGAATTGAGACCCGTTGTCCGTTACGCTGATATAAGAGTAGTATATGTAAATACGTCTGGTTTCAAGCCAGACATGTCCATTTCCTTCATTACTAGAGACGCCTTGTCAAGAAACCCCATCTCACAGACAGATTTAATAGCAATGTTAAACGAAAATGCATCCATTACAACCCCATATTTGGACGGGACATGAAGAAGGAAGTCCTAGATGGTGCGGAGATCAGGTTTCAAAGTTAAGACTTTAAGTGCGGCATTGAAGGACTTAACAGTCCTCTTACAGCCGTATAAGTCCATATTGTAGAAAGTATCGAGGGCATGATTAGTCACCCCAGCCTTGCCGTATAACATAATAATCCTTACAACGAAGCCCTCGTGCCTACCTTGTGGAAGGGTCTTCTGATTCTCCAGTAGCTTCTCGATGAAATCAAACCGACGTGCCCTGGCTAATCTAGAAACGGTGTCTTCAAAAGCAAAATGATTTTCAAAGACCAAGTGGTTGGTGGCATTAGCTTGAAAGAGGTTGAATAGCTTCGCAGGGTCTCGCTCAGATTTAAGTTTGAAAAGGGCAGGCTCTTCCTCCTGATTATTGGATACAGCTGGAGCGTGAAAGCTGGAGGCAATAACAGTGGAGGCTATAGAGGAATAGCATAATCTGCGAGTTGGTCGCAGAAATAGCAGCATGATCCCTCCACCCTAAACATTACCAAATCAACAAAAACAAGAAGTAATCATGGAGCAATCTTACTTATCTTCTTCATCGTTAAATTTATAAGGTTTTATAAATTTGAAATTTTAAACTTCATGAGAAAAACTTAGTTTCTTTTCCAAGACACCAACCGATTTTGAGAAATCAAACTAAAATTAAACAAAGAGATGACAATCACCATCGATTATCTGGTCACCTTTGTTAGTATTCGTCACTGAGATCGTCTTGTTTGTTTGAACTCATCAGCGTCGTCGGATCTCGCCGTAGAACTCGTTTGCGTTGTCAGATCTCACCCGAAAACTTGTCATGGTGGTCAAATCTCACCGGGAACTCGTCAGCCTCGCCAGATCTTGCCGGGAACTTGTCAGCATCGCTAAATTTCACCAGTAACTGGTCAACGTTGTCAAATCTCACCGGGAAACTCGTCATCGCCATCAAATCTCGTCAGAATTGATCACCAAAGAGAATTTGATAGATTTTTCAATTTGGGAGCTATGTAGATTGTGGGAGAACGACATTAAATTTAGGTTTGATTAGCCAGTGGTACAATAGTATTTTGGCAATTAAAATTTTAATGGTAAAGTTGGTTAGTGTAAAGTTGAAAAGTGGTATCTTAAAAGTGTTATTTCTGGCAATTTCCCTATGGAAGAATTGCATAAATACACATTCTTGTGTACACTAATTCACATTTACGTTAAGAAGGGGGACATTTTCAAAAATACACTTTTCATTAAAGTATAAAAGATTCTTATACCCTTGTTTTTAATATATATAAAATAAATATTTAAATAAATAAAAACACATAAAAAACAAAAAAAAATTATTTTTTTCGAATTATACTATTTCGAAATTCAAACCCTAAACCCTAAAATATAAATTCTAAACCCTAAACTCTAAACCCTAAACCCTAAACCCTAAATTCTAAACCCTAAAACCTAAACCCTAAACCCTATATTCTAAATCCCAAACCCTAAACCTTAAATTCTATACCCTAAACCCTAAATTCTAAACCCTAAACCCTAAAATTATAAACCTTAAACCCTAAATTCTAAACCCTAAATTCTAAATCCTAAATTATTAACCCTAAATCCTAAATTCTTAACCCTTAATCCTAAATTCTAAACTATATATTTTCTACAAAATTAATTAAGGGTACTATGGTGTTTTGTCTATCAAAATTTTAAGGGTAATGATGATTAATGTAAAAATGAAATAATGTATCATGAATGTGCTAGTTTTAACAATTTTACTTTCCCTATTTAGTTAAAGATGGAGAGAAAAAGGTAAACAAAGATAAAAAAACAAAAGAACAAAAGTGTAATATCACATAACAAAAGAAATAATTAGGTTTAGTTTAACTTATTTGTTTTATAAAACATAAAAAGGAAAGTTAAAGTTGCTAGATAGGTGAGCACGTCTTTAGCTTATTCTCTACATTTCAATTTTAACTTTTATTAACCATTAAACTACTTAATGTTATATTAAATATTTTCGTCGATATTTTACTTAATCAACAAAACCGGAAGTCTATATTTCTTTGACTTCTCTTGAGAATTGCTATTGGTGTCATGCATGCATAATTGTGTGATTACGTTTTATTTGTAACCTGGGGATATCCGGTGGGTTGAGGTTAACAAATCTCTTAGGAACATGTCTATCAATGTAATAGTGACCCAATTGATCATAATGAAAACTAGATTATGACTCGTGCAGATGTGCAAGTGTTATTTTTGTTTAAACAAATTATATATTTATTTTATATTGTTTATTTTTTTACTGTTTATGTTTATCCATATTTTTTTATGTAACTAAACAACATGATTAAAATTATATTTTATATTAACAATTTTTCCTAAGTGTATTATAGATATATATGCGGAGAAAACATTAAATTGTGTGTCCAAATCAAACCCGCAAAGCTCTAAAATGAACCGAAATGAAATTTTTAAATACTCGAACAGAGAAAAAATTTAATCTCAAAAACTTGAAACCTAAATAGATTCGAACCAAATTCGGATGTAACCAGAATATCCACCCAGAGTTTAAAGTTTGTCGTGTAATGAATATGGACAATGAAAGTGAAGAGTTGGTCAATTTCATAGTCTTGAATTTATAATATTGAAATAACATTGGTTAATAGTATTGATAGTATCAATATAAGTATTAACGAATTATATCCAAACAATTGACATAAATGAAGATATATAATATAATTTATTTTATTTTATAATGAAAGTATAATATATATTTATAAATTAATATATTGGTTGAATGATATAATAAATGGATAAAGAGGAATATTCGAATTGTAAATATTAGATGAGATCTATAAAAAAATTTATGGTTGTTAGTGAAAGATTATTTAATAAACTATTTTAATAAAAGTTGAATTAATAATTAAAATGACCTAAATAATAGGAGGTTCAATTTTAAAATCTACCTAGAAGAAGTTGTAATGTTTCTGTTTTAATAATATAGATGCGAACCGAATCTATACTTATATGATTCTAGATATATGACATTCAAACTTATATGAGGACTATGTTTTTGTCGTCATCACCCTTTGTCGCCGCCGTCACCATTAGGTGATGACAGGTGTTGAAAATAATTAATAGTAACTGAAATGAATAAAAATATATTTTAAAAATATTTGAAATATATATATACACACATTAGGAAACATTTAGATAGATTAAAATGAATATTCACTTATAAACAATCCCTATTATTCTACAAGTAATTCAAAAATAGTTAAACCTTAGCATATATAGATTTTATTGTTTAAATTAATTAATGGTAATGGTTAAACATATATTTTTTAAAAAAAAATTAAAAAAAAAAAATATATATATATATATATATATATATATATATATATATTTTCTTTTAAACCTTTTAGGTTAAATTTATGGAGTTTATATGGTACTTGAGAAATATTATATTATATAATTAAAAACGTTTAATGAATTTTCTTATAATTTAGCTAAATTATTTTAGGAAATATGTTGATCACAAAAATTTAGGTAAACTTGATTTATGAAATGATTTAATAAAATAGGAAAAGACAATGATTACTTGAATATAAGTTTATTTAGTTTCCAGTGGCAATGAATTGTAACTATTGTGTAAGTCTAAGAGTTAGTTTATATTTGTAAACCCAGAACTTTAAGCAAACGCGTAGACTTGTCTTGATTAGTATAAGAGTATTTAAAACTTTTATTGTTTTTATCTGTAGATAATCGAGGGATGATTTATATGAAGTTGGTTCAGATTAAATATTCCGGTTGATTTGACAAAAAAAAAATATTCCGGTTGATGTTATATAAATGTAGTGTGTAATATTAATGATATATTTTTCAATGAATCTAAAATTTACATGATACCTTTAAAAAGTAGGTAAAAGATAAGACTCTTAATTAATAGATTAGATTAGATATATGTATTGTCTGACTACAAACAAGTGATTCCAAATTTGATAGATATTGAATCTAGGTGTTTAACATAGTTATGATAACATTTTTTTTTTTTTGGCAAAGATACACTTTTATAATAAATTTCAATAGTATTGAATTGTACAGTAGTATTAATTTAGAGTTATTTTTGGGTCTACTTTTTTAGGGTGAACCTATATGTTTAACTTCCAATAGTATTATATTATTTCATATATGATATCTCTATAATATTATTTGAGAAGTCAGTTTCCTATTTGGCGCGCTCACGTTGACTCTTACACCGGTTGATTACTATGATACCCTTGATGAATATATTTAAATAGTATATTTAAATAATATTATTAATTTTATGTTTAGTTTCCTTTTTAAAACATTCCAAATAACTTTTAGAATAAAAAAGAAATAAAATTATTAAATTTAAAAAAGAAAATATATGTTAATATAATATGATTTCATTAAAAAGGAAAGTTCACAAAATAGTAAAATAGTATTATTAGTTTTGTATTTAGTTTCCTTTTTAAAAATTTCCAACTAAAATTTATAATAGAAAAAACATCATAAAATTTAAAAGGAAAAATTAAAAGCGAAAATATATGTTTATATAATATGATTTCATTAAAAGGGAAAATTAACAAAATAGTAACATCCATTAAAAATATTTTAAATAACATAAAATGTACTTTTTAATTAATAAAATACTTTCTTTATATCTGTACTATATGAAAATATATATTTTTATATAATGTGATTTCATAACAAAAAATTCACACATATAATAATATTGATATTTGAAAAAAAAAATTTACTTTTAAACATAATTTTAAGTAACATAAACAAGTATATGTTTTTATTAACTAAAATAGGTTTTAATTAAAATTATTGAATATTTTATTTATTTTCATATATTTAGTTGACTATAGTATCTTTCAACTAAAGCAAAAAAAAAATATCTAGAAATTAAATTTTACTTATATAATATGATTTCTCAAATACAACCACAATTTTTACTGCTTATTTTTAAGAGAAATTAAAATATTTTTTAACAATAAACATCTTTTAATAAAATAATTACAAAATATTTTAAAATATCATACCAATATATACTTTAATGACATATATATGTTATATTCTATCATTATTTAAATTATATGTTTCTTAATTTTAATTTTTTTTAAAAAAATTATGTTTATGTAACTTAATATAACCATAATAAAAATACCAAAGCAC